TTTTTTCCCACAATTTCTTAATTTCTAAGTAATCCACTGGGCATAGGTGTTTTAAAGAAGAAGGAAAAGTGAAAGATACCTTTTAGGAGAAAACAATTAACTCTACTCAGCCATGGCTCATGAAACTTTCGCTTCACATAGGTACATCAGATACATGTAGATACTAGCTTAATTCTTCGTACCCTGGACAGACATTCACCCAATTCCATACCTTCATTTTCTTGGACTTATCTTGTCATTAAATTACTCATACTTGACAATGATGTAGCAGCTAAAGTACAAATGCCACATTTAGAAATTTGAGTTTAAAAGACATATTTGTGGTGTTAACTGATTGAGGAGGTCATTCCTGATGTGCAAATATCAGTTCTGTTTGAGGTAAGTGACAGGTAAACTTTGTGCTGCCTCCTTATTACCATGATTCAGGCATGTGACCTAGCACCACTCACACTGCTGGCTGTAATCTAATTCTCTTAATATAAAATGGCACTGCAACTCTTAAGATTGAAAATAACTGAAATTGAATATTAAAGAGGAAGAAAAGTGGAGCACCACCCCAAATGGAGAAGGCACCAAGATTGACCAGTATTGCTCCATAGGCAGCAGTTACAGAAATGAATAGAAGCAAATATAACATTATTCCTCTGGTGTGTCGATGAGTCCTCAGAAGGGAGTGGAAGAAAGTGGCCCATACTCACCAAACTAAGAGTCTCCTTTTCTGCTCAATGTACCACATCCTCTTCACTCACTTGACTGTTTTTAAGAGCACATAAGACTCAGGCCTAACATTCCTACTCACTCCTACTCACACATACAGCTTCCAGTGATGACAGTCCCTTACCCAACTCTCATCACCTTTCCAGATTTTATCTACAACAGGCACACCATCCAAATATGATTCCACACTTGCAGCAAAAAATGAATGCTGTCACAGTTACGTCCTCCATAACGGAGAAAATCAGAAGTCAAAAGACACCAGGTTATAGTCCACAGTCCTGATGAAGGAGCATCATCATAGAATATCATCTCATACAATCCCTACAGTGTGGAAACAAGCCCACACCAACCCTCAGAGCATCCCACCCAGACTCATCCCCCTAATCTACACCTCCCTGAACACTATGGGCAATTTAGCATGGCCAATCCACCTACCCTGCACATCTTTGGACTGTGGGAGGAAACCAGAGCACCCGGAGGAAACCCACGCAGAAACAGGGAGAATGTGCAAACTCCACACAGACAGTCGCCCGAGGGTGAAATTGAACCCAGGTCCCTGGCGCTGTGGGGTAGCCGTGCTAACCTCTGAGCCACCATGCTGTCCAGCACTCTGAAAGCTTGTGGTTTCACTTAAACCTGTTGGACTGTAACTTGGTGTTGTGTGACTTCTGACTTTGTCCACCCGAGTCCAACACTTTCTTCTTGACATCTTGGGTAGTGCAGCAACAGATCCCATGGAATTTGGTTCCACTGAGATAAATGAAGATAATAATGTGTTACAGTCCTTTGCTCCATTTCAAATCCTTCACCACTTTCATTCTAAAATATTTAATGCATTGAAAACTGCAAATGATGTGACCACGGACCTCCTGATTTCTTTGAACTCCTGAACCCAATCATGGATTTTATGTTTCATAGCCAGCTGGCCAGGCCTCAACACAGCTCAAAGAAACAGACCACTCACTTGGTCTGAGACTAACAGCCAACAGCTCAGGTTGGTGATGTGTCACTGGATATGAGTAGGCTGCAGCCAGGCCGGAGAAAACGGATGGTTCATATCACATCTCCTGTTTTGGGTGGTGGGTGGGGAAATGTGGTTGGCTAGGTGGCAGGGACTAAGATGAGGAATTCAATAGGGCAACACAGTGAAGAATGCTGACTATAGTGTATTCTGAGATGCTCGGTGCATTGGCAAGCCTAAAACAAAGCCCATCAGGAAGCATGCAGCTGTCTGGCTCCAACATGACAGACGGCGTTGAGCAACATTGGGTTCCACTCTTTCCACTGTGAATGTGGTTGCCAATTTTATATCAGGCACTTTCAGACCTGACTGTTTTCAGGCTTGTTTTCAACATCCACTGCAGCACAGGTGAAAACTCCTAATACTTCCGTCCTGCAAATGGAAGTCTACGCTGCGGTCATAGAGATGTATGCAATCATTGCTAATTCAATGTTCAAAGGGGCTTGCAGGCTCCCACAACAATCTAGCAATCTGCCCTCCAACAGATTGTTATTATTGCAGAGTGCCACCTGCAGGAAATAGCACCAAGGCCAGTGGAGGATGAAACTCCAGTTCTTTGTCAATATGACAACATCTATGCGCCCACCATCACACTTGCTAATGCGTCTCAGACAAACTGCCTGGACTGCTGCTGCCCCTGCCTTCAAAGTCAGTCCTTCAAAGTCCAGAATTGCTCAGAGTGTACTGCAAGGCCATCTGCAGTCTCCTCCAGTGAAAGTCACCAACCTTCCACCAGCCATGCTATAGTTACTGGGAATAGTACTGTGCGTTTGGACAGGCAAAGGCATCAACAACCTATGGAAGAACTTTATTGGCCCCAGAGGCAGACTGGGAGGTTGGGGATGCAGTGAAATAGTGGGCAGTACCATTGAGGTGGCTCCATAATGCAGTCCCAGTGGGGGGTTGCAAAGCAAATCAGCTTCCTATTCAAAAGATGAAAGAAATTTGCATACTTCAAGACCCAATTTATGGGAATACAGACACTGCTGCATCTTCTCACTCATAGTGGGATTGCCTGCTTAATGAAGGCAGTCTCCCTGCAGCAGGCTGGCGCAAGGGCACTTGTGCTAGAGGGGAGTATAAACAAGGAAGGCAACACCCGTAGACCCAAGGCTTCCCCTGGAGTGATTTCCCCTTTAATTCTCAGTCCCTGAATTTTTTATTGACTGTCATTTATCCCTTTAAGTCTGAGGTCTCTTACCTGTCTCAGCAGTGCCGTCCTATTCTGCTGGCACTGCTGAGACTTCAGAGCTGCCAGCCATCTGATTCAGCAGGCACTGTCAGAAACCTGCCTGAAAGCTTTAATGAACAACTCGATTGCAGGCAGCGAATCCAGGTGTTGCCTGCTGTAAAATAGCTCAGTCAGTCTTGCTGCTGGGAGGTGCAGGCTTAGGACTTGCTTTTCCCCTTGACATCAGGGTCCCAAAGGCTGTGATAAAATCCACTGATGGAATGCCAAACTTGTGTTTGTTTGTATAAAAGGACATGTTGTCAGATCAAGATGATGTGCAAAAGAATTCTGTTGTTAGAAGTTTTTAAGGGATTGATGAATTCATGTTGCAGATTTCTAAGATGCAGTGAGATATCCTACTGCATAAATCACAGAATGGTACTGTGCAGGTACAGCAAGTAATCAGGAAAGTTAATAGAATGTTAGAATTTATACAAGGGGAATTGAATGCAAGAGTATGTTTCAGTTAGACAGGGCATTGGTGAGACTATGTCTGGAGTATTCTGTATAGTACTGATCACCTGGTTACAGTGCCTTATGACGAAAGGCTAGACAGGCTAGGTCTATATCCTCTGGAGTTTGGAAGAGTCAGAGGTGACTCCATCGAAATATAGAAGATTCTGAAGGGTCAAGGCCAAGTGGATGTTAAAATAATGTTTCCACTTTTGGAAGAACCTAGAACTACAGGTCATTGTTTTAAATAAGTGACCCCTTATTTTTAAACTGAGATAGAGAAACATTTTTTTCTCTCAGAGGGTTATGAGTGTTTTGAATTCCCTTCCTCAAAAAATGGATGCAGAATTTTTAAATATTTTAAGGCAGAGGTAGATTCTTGATGGCCAAGTCTGATGGAATGTGGCCTTTATTTCAAAGGGGTTGGAGTGTAAGAGTAGAGAACAGCCTCCTCCTATTACTGTTTTATGTTGTCTAGTTTGCACTTTCGAGCGGAGGTGAGCTCCCTAATCCACTCTGATATGCTTTCTCTGGTTTTATGATCTAGGATGGCTATGGCCTGTAACTTAATCCTCCTTCTTTGCAGAACCTTCCTCCCATACATTCTTGACTCCATGTCCTGGTTAATTTGCAGACCAAGATGCACTGTCACCACAGCCTCGTATTTGGTCTGATATTCTTCTGTTCCTCCTGTCTGTAAGAACCAACCACCAAAAGCTAACTCCAAAAACAGCGCATTACTTCCCCAAACTCAGCCTACAAGAAAAGCTAAATCAAAAAAAGTCTATAACTCTTTCAGTGAACACAAATAATGCTGCTGCCTAGCCTGCCATGCCGATGAAACATTTGGCTTTCTGCAGTGAGAGCCAAATTTGCCCAATGGACCTGTGTGATCCAAATGCAGTAGGTGGGTACCGTTTCACCTAGAAGATGTTGTGACGATGGATGGCACCAAATGAGTTGTTTCTGATGCACACAAGGACCCCAATACAAGTACCTTTCTCAAAGTGATGTGCCACATGGACCACAATATAAATTGGGCTGAGCTGGACTGATAATGTAATCTAAGTGCCTGATACTCACTTATCAAAGGCTGTACTACAAGGCCATTCATGTAGAAGATTTAGTATTGACCTCAAGTCCTGGGAGCAGCTCATCCAGGATTGTGGCACCTGCTGCCACCAAATTAAAAAAAGAAGGTGCAGCTTCCTTCCAAAGTAATTACATATCAGACAGTAAAGACAAAAGAGAGGAAATCCAAAAGACAGGAAATCCTGAACCAACAACTCATTCAAAATTCAATCATCTGCGGTAAGCCAAATGTAAACAAGATCAGCTTCACCTAAAAGGATGAACAACATGCACAAGGAAGGCATTATCTGGACAGAGCATTGACTTGGTGGCAGGATTCACCAGTACATACTTCCATACGTAACTCCATACAAACCCCCCTGGCTTATATGAACAGTGAGAGTTAATAGTGCATGCCTGTAGATTTAATTAAGGAATGATGTTGTATTACTTTTCTGGTACAATCAGCTAACTGACTAAAAATGGAAGAAGATTCAGAGAGTGTACCTGTCAAGCTTGAGGACGCTTTCAAAGTCATATATTGCTGCATGCCATTCACTGCAATCAGTGTACAAAATACCACGATGCAAAAATGATGACAAATTCTCAACATCATCATTGATAAGCACTGTAAAAAAAGTAGATAAGTTTGTTATTCAATATTATCAATTAAATCAAAAGAAAAGTCTACCTTGTTTATTGGTCACTTTATATCTAAGATTTCTATGCAGCATTCGCCTATGCAGAGATGCACATGCCTCTAAACTATGCCAGTTTGCAGGATCACAGTGAGTTTCTAAGATTGGTATTCCTTCAATGAGCTGGCAAGTATATAATCTGTATGTGGAATGGTATATAACCTATATGTAGGCAAGTATATAGTATGCTACCCATTTCTTCCAGCAAGAATGAACCTAAGTATGAAGGAAGACAATGTGTGAAAGTGTCAATCATGTCCCATATTCTTCCCCCACCTGCATAAGGTTACCTCAGAAACTGGTGGAAGAAGAAAATTTCTAATCAACGTGGATTCATTTCTCTTTTTACAAATATGAATTGATTTGTTTGATCACAACAATCAGACCAATTTTATTTCATATCACATCTAAACAAGAAATCTTTTCACTTCTTTTCAGTGTTAAGAATTACTTCTCTGAAAGTCTCTTCCTATCCCATTCCATTCCTTCTTCTAATTCTCCCTTGTTGTGTATTTGCTGGACTCTCTAGTCCTCCACTCTTCAACACTACATGATCTGTTCCCCCTGGTCAAAGGGTCAATAAACAAGGGGGCCATAATTTTAAGGTGAAAGGCAGGAGGTTAGAGAGCATTTCAGGAAAACTGTTTTCACCCAGAGGGTGGTGGGGTCTGGAATGCACTGCCTGGGGAGTGTAGTTGAGGCAAGAAAACACGCAATCTTTAAGTAGTACTTGGATGAGCATTTGAACTGTCATAACCTTAAGGCTATGGACATAGTGCAGTAAGCTGGGACTAGTATAGGCAATAGTGTATTTTTGGCACTACAGACTCGATGGGCTGAAGGGCCCCTTCTGTATCAATGGTGAGGTGAGAGTGACAGCCCTTGATGTCAAGGTCACATTCAATCAACTGTGGCATTAAGGAGCCCTAGCAAAACTGGAATCAATGGGTGTCGGGAGCAAACACTCCACTGGTTGGAGTCATACCTGACACGTAGGAAGATGGTCATGGTTGTTGGAAGGCAGTCAGCTCAGCTCCATGGCATCTCCGCAGGAGTTCCTCAAGGTAGTATCTTAGACCCAACCATCTTCAGCTGCTTCATCAATGACTTTCCCTCCATTGTAAGGTCAGAAGTGGGGATGTTCGCTAATGATTGCACAATGTTCAGCACCATTCGCAAGTCCTCCAATTCTGAAGCAGTCCATGTTCAAATTCCACAGAATCTGGACAATATCCAGGCTTGGGCTGACAAGTGGCAAGTAACATTTGTGCCACACAAATGCCAGGCTATGACCATCTCCAATAAGAGACAATCTAATCACTGCCCCTTTATATTTAATGGTGTTACCATCACTGAATCCCGCACAATTAATGCCCTTGACAGAATATTGACAGAAACTCAACTGCGTTGCCACATAAACAGAGTAGCTACAAGAGCAGGTCAGAGGCTAGGAATACTGTGACAAGTAACTCACCTCCTGACTCCCCAAAGCCTGTCCACCATCTATAAGGCACAAGTCAGAAGTATGATGGAATACACCCCACTTGCCAGGATGGGTGCAGATCCAGCAACAGTCAATAAATTTGACACCATTCAGGATAAAGCAGCCCACTTAATTAGTGCCACATCCACAAACATTCATTCCCTCCCCCACCAATGCCTAGTCTCAGCAGTGTTACTGTCTGCAAGATGCACAGCAGAAATTCACCAAAGATCCTTCGACAGCACCTTCCAAACCCACAACAACTTCCATCTAGAAGGACAAGGGCAGTAGGTATATGGGAACACCACCACCTTCAAGTTCCCCTCCATCTTGACTTGAAAATATATTGCTGTTCCTTCACTGTTGCTGGGTCAAAATCCTGGAACTCCCTCTCTAATGGCATTGAGGGTCTACCTACAGCACGTGGTTCAAGAAGGCAGCTCATCACCACCTTCTCAAGGGCAACTAGGGATGGGCAATAAAATGCTGGCCAGCCAGCGATGTCCATGTCCCACGAATAAATGAAAAAAAAATTCTATGATCTATGCTCAGCAAAGTTTATCGATTTATCCTTTTATACTCTCATATCCATGAATTTCAAGCATAGCATATTGTTGAACTCTTCTTACATCACCTTCTTCTCTATGCCTATTTCTTGGGCAGAAGTCCTCTCCCCATTCCACAGATCCTTTCACCTGTCACCAATACACGCTCAACACCTTAATTTCTCGGCTTCTTTCACCCCCTTAAATACTCCAAAAATGCTGCACTCATCTCTCAGGTCGAACTGTCTTCGTGTGGATGTGAGTCATACCTATCTTCTTGTGGGGTTAGTGAAATAGTACATGCTTCAGTTCTAATAGGCCCCCACTCACAACAATGAGCCTTTTTTCCAGTACATTGATGATCGTATCACACATTACATTGTCCTGCTTTTGATCAGAACTGGAAAAAATAATCAATTTTGCTTCAGACTTCCACCCTTCTCTCACCTTCACCTAGTCTATCTCTGACTTTTCCATTCCCAGTCTTGACTTCTCAGTCTCCAATTCTGGGGATAGGCTGTCTACTAATATTCTCTACAAATACAATATTGGTAGGAGTGACCGCTATAACATTTTTATAGAGATAAAGTTTATCTTCACATTGAGAATACCGTCCATGATATTATGGAGCACTACCAACATGGAGAATAGAATAGATTTCAAACAGTTTTAACAACTGGGGTGAGGGAAGTTTAACAACTTGAGGCATCCTCGCTGGAACCATAACAAATTAGGGAACCTTACAGAACAAAGAACAGAAAGAACAATACAGCACAAGAACAGGCCCTTCAGCCCACCAAGCCTGCACCGACACATTTTGCCCTTCCATACTAAAACTGTCTTCACTACAGGATCCATATCCCTATATTCCCTTCCTATTCATATATTCGTCCAGGTGCTTCTTGAATGCTGCTATTGTGTCTGCTTCCACCACCTCCTCTGGCAGCACATTCCAGGCACTCACCGCCCTTTGTGTAAAAAACTTGCCTCACACATCTCTTTTAAATTTCCACCCCTCATCCTTTGCGGGATGCAAATGGGAATTAAGCGGATAGACCCGTCTGGCCACAACCAGATATATTGATACTGCACTCCATCTGCAGGGGTGCAGAAGACATCGTGCAGCTTGGCAACTTTAACTGTTTCCATCAGGAATCTGGATGTGGAGGCCAGTTCGCTATGAATGAAGTCCCCCCAGGATTGTCCACTCAGCCTATTGAGTCTGCTCCCCTTACTCATAAAGAACTTATAATATTTCTGTCTTAAATATACTCAATGGCTTGGCCTCCACAACCTTCTACGGCAATGAGTTCCACAGATTAACGACCCTTTGGTTAAAGAAACTCATCTGCATCTCAGTTCTAACAGTCGTCCCTTCAATCTGAGGCTGTGCCTTCAGGTCCTAGACTCTCCTACTAGAGGAAACATCTTCTCCACATCTACTCTATCCAGACCTCTCAGTATTCTATAAATTTCAATCAGATCCCTGCTCATCCTTCTACACTCCATTGAGTACAAATCCAGAGTCGTCAACCGCTCCTCATATGACAAGACTTTCATCCCTGGAATCATTCTTGTAAACCTCCACTGGGCCTCCTCCAACGCCAGCACGTCCTTTCTTAGATCCAAGGCCCAAAACTGCTCACAATATTCCAAATGCAGTCTGACCAGACCTTATACAGTAGTATATCACTGCTGTTGTATTCTAGCCCTCTTGAAATGAATGCTAACAATGCATTTATCTTCCTAACTGCCAACTGAATTTGCACGTTAACATTAAGAGAATCCTGAACTAGAACTCCCAAGTAGTCCCTTTGTGCTTCAGATTTCCAAACCCTTTCCACGTTTAGAAAATAGTCTACGCTTCTATTCTTCCTGCATAAACTCACACTTTCCCACAATTTATTTCATCTACCACTTCTTTACCCGCTGTCCTAGCCTGTCTAAGTCCTTCTGTAGCCTCCCAACTTACTCAACATGACCTGCCTGAACCCTCCACCTATCATTGTGTCATCTGCAAACTTAACAACAATGCCCTCAGTTCCTTTGTCCAGATCATTAATGTATAATGTGATACTTGTGGTCCCAACACTGACCCCTATGGAATTCCATCCTGAAAAACATTTTATCCCTACTCTCTGCCTTCTGCCAGTCAGCCAATCCTCTATCCATGCCAGTACCTTGCCCCTAACAGCGTGGTGTCTTATCTTATTTGGCAGCTTCGTCAAAAGGCCTTCTGGAAATCCAAACAAATCAGACAGACCATTCAGCACTTCCAACCTGTTTCACCATTCAATGATTGGCCCTAACTTTAGTTTCCTGCATATCCCTTATACCCGTTGGCTCCTTTGTTAGTCAAGAATCTATCTCCTGCTGAATTAAAAATATCAATGACTCTGCCTCCACTGCTTTCTGGGGAAGAGAATTGCACAGATCCACAAAGATTTCTCCACACCTCTACCTTAAATGAGAGAACCTTGAGCTTTAAACTGTTTCCCTTAGTCTAGTCTCATCCTTTTAGCATCTACCTGTCATGTTCCCTCTTGATCTTATATGTTTCAATGAGATCACCTCCAAATCTTCTAAAGCCCAGTGGAGATAGGTCCAAACAACCCATCTTTTCCCTTTAAGACAAAAACCTCATCAATTAAGTGAACCTTCTCTGCAATATTTCTAATGCAATTTTAGCCTTTCTTCAGGAAAGAAACAAAATATTTCAGGGCATTTGAGACATGGTCTCATCAAAATTCTATACAACCATTGCAAAACATCACTAGTTCTACATTCCACTCCCCTTGCATTAAATGAAAACATTTAAGTTCTCAATTATCTGCTATACCTGCATGCTAACTTGTTGTGATTCACACACTAGAACACCCAGTTTCATCTGTAAAGCAGAATTCTGCAATCTCTCTCTATGTCAATAATACGTGGTTTTCCTATATTCTGCCTGCCAAAGTGGGCAAGTTCACATTTTACCACACTTTACATCATCTGCCAAATTTTTGCTTATTCACTTAACCTATCTATATCACTTCGCAGACTCATTATGTCCTCTTCATAACTTATTTTCCTATCTCTCATCATGTCATCAGCAAATTTAGCAACAAGATATTCAGTGTCTTCATCCAAGACATTGATATACACAGTAAATAGTTCAACCCCAGCGCCAATTCCTTTGGCACTGCATGTGCCAACCTGAAAATGGTCCATTTATGTCTACTCTCTGCTTCTGAATTTAAACCAACCTTCTTCATCTTAACCAGTTTTCACACAAAATAAATTAGACAGCATTCACCATGTAAGTGTTTCCATAGGCCTATAATTCTCTTGAAAAGAATAACTATCTAATAATCAATTATATTTGCTCATACATCAAATGCATGTGTAACGTGTGGTCTTCCCTAACTCATTCAGCTGCCTCCCTAAACTATTTCATTGAAATTATCTCAAAATGGATGCAGCCTTTGGTCGGGAGAAAGTGAGGCTGAAGACAGAATTGCCTACCACAAAGCCCTGAGATAACCTTAGCCTTTCAGAGGCCTGTAGAAATAGTGGTAGTAAATATACCCAATAAAAAGAGACATACAGTCTACTCTTCCCACAGAAGAACTCCCACCTGGGGATCCACGCTGCATTAATGCAAGTTGGTCAAAAAGTAATTCTGTCTCAAAAGACATTTTAAGTCCCTTTATAAAAAGGGCCAAAGAGGTAACAAAACAATCATTCACTCCCTAGCATTTGGATTACAATTTTTCAGGCTCTGCAGGGTGGCAGGTGCCTGAGACATGTTTCAAATGGTGCAGGTTTCCAAAGGTAATACTTAAATCAAATGATCTCAGGCCATTCCGGCATCCACTAGCAGGAAGGTGGAAAGGGCCACTAGCAGGCATCTCTCTGGGATACTCATCACCGCACGTTCCTGAGAATTCTCGGTACCTAAATGTTCATCGAGATCAGCATCTCTCTCACCATTAACAACTCATTTGACTGGAGAAAGCCACAGTCCATTTTCTTGCAATCAATACCATTTGTGTGATAAACAACTTACATAAAACTAAAAATGTGTGACAGTTTTGGCTTTGGTCACAGCTTAGTGGACAACTCTACTTCTGCTAATATTTGTATAACCCTTTGCTGTAATACATACATAAAGTCTGCATTATACCTGAAACACTAAAGTCCTGTAACGCTTGCTGTGGTTGCATCTTTCGCAGCAAGCAGCCTCTGTGATAGAAAACCACCCAGTTGTTAGGATCCAAGTGAATAGCAACCGACAGATCCTCAATTGCTTCCTTGTGCATTCCTTGTTTAGCATATGCCTGTCCACGATAATTCCTAACATGGAAAATTTTCAGAAAAATTATTTGTGAATCATAAATTGATATCTGGAAACATTTAGATCTATCATGCATATGCCTATCGTTCAAGGGTGGAAGGGGAAGGGTGGATCAGGGCCAAAGAATGGTGTGGTGAAGGTGCAAAAACAGAGTCAGTGTCTCTCCAAATAGAGGAGGGCCTTTAAACTGGCGACCTCAGCATCAGCCCATCTCTGCCTCCATCCAAAGATTGACTCCAGGCTATCCAGCAGCACAGGAGATGACAATCCCACCTGTAGCACTGCCTTGTGGGTGATGGGATGTGGGAAGCAGGGCTTTGGATGAGCTAAAAGCTACAGAAAGGCAGTGGTTGCAATTCAGTCTGAAGTATTCTGGAACAGTCATTCTGGACATGACAACATCATGGTCAAGGGTTTATGATACACTGAGATAGCAGCGGAGGGTTGAGTAAGGTATGACAGCTAAGGTTTGCTTAGGACTCCAAGGTTAGAAACAGTCTGATTCAGTTTGAACAACGTGCAAGAAAGAGGATAAAATTTGTGGCAAAGGTGCAAGGTTTGATGTGGGGGTTGGAAGCAATGATTTTGGTTTTCAAGTGTTTTATTTTGGGGAAACCTATCCACTTAAACTATATAGAGAAAAATGTCTCTTCTGATTCATCTTCCAAGTCATTTACAATTGAATTTTCAAAGTCGCAACTGTTTACCTTTTGGCCCTCCATTGTGATAAATTTCTGTAGCTAGTGATCTGCTTAACCACTCTCATTTCTACATCTGATACCTTCATCCACATTGGAACTATTATTCTTGCTTACCTGATCATTCATCAGGAACAACTTTAATTTACACTTCCTTATGTCTGAGTGACGCAATTGTGAATGGATATGGTGACCAAGTGGTTTAATGTTGAAAGGTGGATTTCCCTCCCTAATAGCTTTGTGGGTCAACACACAGCAGGAGGACTACAGTGGTTCAAGAAGGCAGCTCACCACCACCTTCTCAAGGGCAACTAGGGTTGGGCAAGAAATGCTGGCCACCCAGCGACGCCCACATCCCACAAATGAATAGGGAAAAAACCCAATTACTGTCAGAATTGGCTCAATCGTAAACTGACATTATCAAATCCTGTTCTCATCTATTAAGAAACTGTTCACTTATTCCATGGAACCTGAAATGCAAATATAATCCTGTTTCTTTTCTCTAGTCCAAAATATCTTCTTAAACCCCTCTTCTTTGTCTCCTCCATCCTTACCTTCAACAACAAAGAGATCAAGGATTCCTTGATCCACAAAATATCTTTTCTGAGATAAAGTGATCAAAGCTGTAAACAGTGCTCCAGGTGTGGTCTAACTCAGTCCCATACAATTAAAACAAGTCTTTGCTGCTCCCACTCAAATCCTCTTGCAATAAAGGCCAACATTCCATTAGCCTTCCTAATATCTTGCTGCATCTGCTTGTTAGCCTTCAGTGACATTGATAAGGGCACCCAGGTCCTTTCATACAACTATACCTTCCAACCTCTTACCATTTAGGAAGTACATTGCACATTTTCTCCTACCAAAGTGGATAACCTCACATGTTTCAAACTTATATTCCATCTGCTATGCTCTTGCCCATTCACTGAGCCTGTGCAAATCCTCCTGAAGCAACTTTACATCTCCCTCACAACATACACATCCACTTAACTGTTTATCATCCACAAATCTGGAAATATGATGTTTGGTTCCCCAATTCCAAATCATTGATATATATTGTGAACATGAGGTGAATTCAATTTTTACCAAGGATAACTTGGATGGTTGACTGCTTGAAATATCTTTCAATGACTTGACATTAAAAAACAAGCAGACATTGGGAAAATAAAATGGAGATGAGGGCATCAGACAGAATGCACAGCAATACAGGAACATGGTCAATGCTTTGCTGTATTTTGCATGGGTAAGGGCCAACATTTTCTCCATGATACTTCACACTCACCCTGATTCTGCCACTGCAGACAAACTTTACCAAAGCTCACTGGCTCTCAAACTGGCTATTGCATGTAGCATCTCCACTCTATAGCTGTCAACTACATCCTCTTCCTCATTCTTGCTCTCTGGCTAAAAAGCTATACAAACCCAAGTATGCAGAAAGTAAATGAGCACTAAGAAATGAAGCTAAGAGTCATCCTGTGTAGGTGCAACCTGTGTACATGCTCCATGCCCGTGTGCACAAACCAACCTGGCAGGAGCATGTGAGTCTGAAATGCCCCTGTTCTCCAGGTGAGGTTCTGAAAAGCTAAAGTGGAATCTGAGTTGGTGCAAGATCAGCCATGATAATGGGTGAGGCTGCTGGTTTCCTTATGCTAACTTTGATGGATGAAGATGGAAGAGGACACTGTTAATGTAACAATCAAGGACAAGTTGATTAAGAGACATTAATATTTTTTCATCCTCGTCCTATTTTCCCACAATTCTCACCATTACTCATGTTGATCAAGGAAATAGAGGAATTCTGCCCTTAGATTTTACTACATCCAGCCTCCCTCCAATGCACTTGTGCCTCACTAAAGCGTTCAGTCTTTCTGAGTGAAAACTAGAAGAATATTTGGCCATTATGGGAAGGAAATTATCTCAGCTGAGGCCTCACATAACAGCTATATGCATACACTTCTTGTAGGCTCTACAGCACAGCCATCAGGAACAGATGTGTCAGAGGTTACCATGCTGTAAATGATGATCACTAAGAGCAATTTTAAACAAATTACAAACTCTCCCTGCATTGCTTCTGTGTCAAAGGTCATTGCACTTTCTTTCTGCAAAAGAAACAAGCTTTACTGGGGTAAAGTTTTCTTTAAAACAATGCTTAAAATTCAGCAAGTTCTTAACATCATAAACACTTTAACAATTGATGCAGTAAAGGTTACAAGGGTAACAACAATAATAAATTACAAAAAGTTTTATTTCAAATATTCAGCTTTTTTTTACAAATTATGACATCTAATACACCCAGCTGGTTTTAAGAAATTGTTACCATCCTTTGCTTTTTAAACTAAGATCCTCAGAAACCACTGAATAACTGTTTATGACAACACTCCAGGGTTTCAACCGATCTTAAATAAGATCTCACAGCAAGTGATTAAAAGAACTCTGGTGGAAATTAATTACATTGGTAGTTCTGAGGTATAGTTGATAATTGACTAATGTTTAAATGCATTAAAAAAATTCTATTGTAACTTACCTGGCTTTAGCATTGCCAGGTTCCTGTTTGATCAGTGCTGTAAGGTCCTGAATTGCTAAGTGCCAGGTGGAATTCTCAAAATAATATAAACCACGTTTCATCATAGCATCTGTTCTTTTTGGGTTCAAACTAAAAGCCTACAATACAATATATAAAATGTACATGATATCTTAATTATAGTATTTTTGCATTTATCATGTTTCGATCAGTAATTGGTCAACTAATTTAGCATCCAAACATATTATATCCATAGTTCTATATTCTGTGAATAAACAATTTTTAAAGAAGTGATATGTTTAGAGGCTTTCTTTCTAAAGTAATCTTGCATCCTCATTCCAACTTACTCTCTTTTAGAAAAAATGTAATCATCGTTAATTTCCTGTTTCATAAAGCTTCTATGCTTTCCATGTCTGAATTGCACTTTGAGCAAATTAATGCATTAGGGTATGCTTCTAACTTTGTACCACTATTGGGGAGCCTCATCAACTGAAAGCCTATATCAGAAATTTGGGTAAATATTCCATATGATTTTCTGACTATTTAAATAACTGGTAACTAAAATCATGTAGAGTCATCGAGTCATACAGTAGCGAAGCAGACCCTCAGGCCAACTCATCTGCGCTGACCAGCCATCCCTATCCGACCTCATTCCATTTGCCAGCATTTAGCCCATATCCCTCTAAACCCTTCCCAATCATATACCCATCTCGATGCCTTTTAAATGTTGCTATTGTACCCATCTCCACCACTTCCTCTGGCAGCTCATTCCACACACGCACCACCCTCTGCATGAAAAATGTACCCCTCAGTTCCTTTTAAATCTTTCCCCTCTCACCTTATACGTATGCCCTCTAATTTTGGACTGCACCACCCTGGGACAAAAGACCTTGTCTATTCACCCCATCCATGCCCCATGATTTTATAAGGTCACCCCTCAGCTTCCAATGCTCTAGGGAAAAAAGCCCCAGCCTATTCAGCCTCTCCCTATAATTCAAATCCTCTGTACAAATATCTGATATCTCTCAGCAATGTTCTTTTGCTGAAATAGCAATATTGAAAAATTATCACCCAATTTTCTTTCAGGTTGGGTTTTACAACCTTCTGCACAACTTTGACTTAGAAATGTATAAAACTTAAGTGAAGTGAGGTACTACACATAACCTTCACAGATAATACAAATTTTCACAGCTTTCATCAGTAAATAGTTTACTACCAAAGCTATAAATGACATTCTGTGAAACCGTGATCATGTTGCATTATCTATCCTCATCACTATTGACCTTTGTGCAGCCTCTGATATAGTTAAGGAAATGATCATCCAAAAATACATCAGATTTCAACAGTGCAGGCAGATGACAACTAATGATTCCTCACACTCTCTCTTCACTCTTCCATTGTTACTAATTGTCAGATTGCTTGTCAAAATGCCAGATTGGAGAGATATTTCCTTCAATTAATTATTGAGAAAGTGGAAGCCGCGTATTTTGTCCCCACCAAAATTCCATTCTCTAACCATTGACTCCATCCCTGTCCCGGACAATTGTCCGAGACAGAACCAAGTTATTTGTTATCATTTTGGTCCCAAGACGAACCTCTGACTATATCCTGAAGCACCACTATCTCCACCTTCATAACATAGCAGTTTTATTCCCTGCTTCAGTCATGTTCATAAAATTCTCATCAAATCTTTTCTCACACCAGATGTGACATTTAATGCAGTCCTGGACAGACTGATAGGTACATTTTCTACTCAGCAATCAAGATAATTTGAAACTCTATTGCCTGCATCTTTGGTCATATTCAACCAATCTTCAGCCTTGTACTCATTAACATGCACTGGCTTCTGATTTTAAAATAGTAATTTTTCTTTCAAATTACTCCTGGTTTATGTCTATCCCCATCTCTATAATCACCTCATGCACACAAGTTATGTTTGCCCAACTAATTCTGACCTCTTCAGCATTCCTGATTTTAACTGCTCCACCATTGGTTGTGCCTTCAAATGCATGGTCTTCTTTTTAGGTCTACAGCATGGAAACAGGACCTTCAGCCCAACTAGCCCATGCTGCCCAGTTTTCACAATTAAACCAGTCCCAATTAAACCAACCTGTGTTTAGTTCATATCCCTCCATACCTATCCCATCCATGTATCTGTCATACATGTTTCTTAAATGACGAAACTGTACTTGCTTCCTTCACTACCTCTGGCAGCCCATTCCAAACACCTACCACCCTTTGTGTGAAAAAATTGCCCCTCTGGACCTTTTTCTATCTCTCCCATCTCACCTTAAACCTATGTGCTATAATTTTAGACGCCCTTACCATGAGGAGAAGCTGTTAGCTATCTACCTTATCTATGTCTCTCATGATTTCATAGACTTCAAATTATGGTGTCAAATTATGTTTAACCATATTCAAATTATATTTATTCCTGTGAAATGCTTTAAGGTAGAAAAGGAAAACTCTGAAGAAGCAGCAGAAAATATATGAATTCATTTCCAACCACATCACTGGTGAGAAGTTGGAGTCTGCTTTAGCATGAATGCTGTACTGTTTTAGGCTTTTCTACTGCTTATTTCCATGGAAAGAGAAACCAACCTGCATTAAAACATGTGATGAGATAATCAAGTGAATGCAGGCTGGCTCTCAACAATGGCCTGCATACTCCGAATGGTACAGGAAAATTGAATAACTCTTGACCCTTCAGTGTCTTACTGCCAGTGCAAGAACGATGAGCTGAATTGCTTGCTTCTGCATTGTAATCATTCTGTTGTGAAGTGCAGAATAATGCTCCCCAAGCTCATTGCTAGCATGAAATTGTGGGTGGGCCATGAGAAGCAAAATGGAGAAATAAGACATGGTGTTCAAAATGCTCCCAAGCCAGGCTCCATGCCTCATATGCTGTTTCCTGCGCAGCTCAGAAATCATTATCACGGGCCATCACAGGTTCAGAGCAGACAAACAGGAGGCTAGAAGAACACAGCAGGCCAGGCAGCATCTGAAGGAAAGGAGCAATGTTTCGGCTATTACCCTTCTTCAGGACTGGCAGAGAACTTCTTCAAAGTGGGCATCCTTTGAAGAGACTTCCCTGTGGTAAAACTTAGAGACAAAAAAAAACTGCAGATGCTGGAATCCACGGTAGACAAACAGGAGGCCAGAAGAAGGAAAGGAGCAGTCAACATTTCCAGAGTGAAGAAGCTGAAACAATGACTGCTCCTTTCCTCCAGATGCTGCCTGGCTTGCTGTGTTCTTCCAGCCTCCTGTTTATCTACCTTGGATTCCAGCATCTGCAGCTTTTTTTTGTCTCTAGCAGGTTCAGAGCAAACTGGCCAGAGCATCGGAGCAGAGGGATATCAGCAGGCCATCTTTATTTCTACTGAAATCATGGGGTAGCATCATGAGGAGTGTTACATTATGAATATTCGATTTATTTTTGCTGTCAAATAAAATATAAATAATGTAAAGAGGGCATCTTATTATCTAACTTTATTTTTCACGGTGGACTGACTGGAAAAAGGACTGTTTCACAATAACTAGGGGAAGAATTACTGTATTGTTGTAAAGCAAGTAGCTGAATCATAATGTAAATTCTGTTTACGCTGTTGCTTAGCAAGCAGTAGGAGAAGGTATAAGAGGAGATGGCATGGCTCCAGAGTGTAAATACAAAGTGAGGTTTCGTCAGCAACAGTTTGCTGATTGGTTTGTGAATTTGTGACCAGATGTGGATGTCAAGGTTATCAGCCTGACAACAACTCTCTGATTGGTTCTGAGGTAGCTGAACAGCTTGTGTGTGCGAATAATTATGTGAGAACGAGCAAAATAAAATGAGCAAGTAGCCTCTATATTCTTCCGACCAAATGCACCATTTTATAAATATCTAACAAATTATAATTATCATCAAACCCTATTGTCTGCTTTCTGTTTGTGGCCACTTCTATCTATAATTTTTTTTTCACTTTACCTTTGTATGTTCTGATGATCAAAAGTGAAAGCATTTTGAAACAATTTGGCATTAAATTTTGCTGATTTATGACACAATTTAAAAATAACAGGAAAAACCTGGGGAAACAGTTAAAAAGAGCAAATTTATGTGATCAACCCACTTGCTGAAAAATTGTCAAATTCATATCTATAAAATATCCTCAAAAGCACAAAACTTACCATAAAATAATCTTCCATAGCTAAAAGTAGATCATTGTTTTTTTCATACATCTCAGCCCTCTTGAAATAGATATCATCATCAGGTCTGCATTTGAGCCCCTGTGAATAATTTATGATTGCCAATGTGATATCCCCTTTTTCTCTATAAATGTCTCCCTTTGAAGTATAGGCATCTAACAATAAAAAAAATTACAGTTATTAACTTTATAAAAGCTACATCCAATTTTGTGAAATATGCATCCAGAACCCCATATGTAAGATGAGAAGGCTTTTTTTCAAATGATAGGAAATGAAAACTGAAAATTGAAAATTCTGATGAAAAACTACAACTTAAAATTATATCCATGCTTTAAATTATTTATTTCCTATTGCTAATACATGAATGAACAACTTTTTTTGAAAATAACAATAAGGCTAGAGGAGTTATGTCCATTTATCTAGAATTATAAATCCAGCTTAATTAAATTTCTAAATGTGCTTTCTTCCAGTTGGACACTTGATCAAATGGAACAATCCTGCTAAATATGAAAAGTAGGAAATAAATAATTTAATTACTGTACCTGCATGATTTCTATTGTGTTTAAGCACAAAATTAAGATCATCTAGTGCATCAGATGTTCTCAATTGAAGAAGATAAAGGAAATGCCTCTGCCAATAGATATCGAGCAACATCGGTTCTAATTTAATAGCCTAAATCAAAAGCAATTGAATTATTACTCAAATGGAACTTCTGTTATTTAAATGTTGACCAGTTATACGCATATAAAATATAAATAAATCAGGAATACAATTGCAGCTAATAAATAATTCAAACATAAAATATATACAATGAAATAGATCCACATATTACTATTGAAAATAACGTGTTTAATCTTTTGACAGATGCAAATACATATATGCAAGTGGATTTTCCATTACTTTGTTCATAATAAGTCTAATGCTGTGCCTTTCATAACAACAGGAGTGTAAGACAATGCATGAATCAGTTCTTTTTATTCATTTGTGAGATGTGGGCATTGCTAGCTGCCCAGCATTTATTACCCATCCCTAGTTGCCCTTGAGAAGGTGGTGGTGAGCTGCGTTCTTGTACCGTGGCAGCTCACTTGCTGTGGGTTGATCATAATGCCATTAGGGAGGGAATTCCAGGGTTTTGATCCAGCGACAGTGAAGAAACAGCAATATATTTGCGAGTCAGGATGGTGAGTAGCTTGGAGGGGAACTTGAAGGTGATAGTGTTCCCATGTATCTGCTGCCTTTGTACTTCTAGATGTAAGTGGTCATGGGTTTGGAAGGTGCTGCCTGAGGATCTTTGGTGAATTTCTGCTGTGCATCTTGCAGATAATATACGCTGATGCTACTGAGTGTCGGTGGTGGAGGGAGTGGATGCTTGTGGATGTGGTGCCAATCAAGCGGGCTGCTTTGTCCTGGACGGTGTCAAGATTCCTGAGTGTTGCTGAAGCTGCACCCATTCAGACAAGTGGGGAGTATTCCATCACACTCCTGACTTGTGCCTTGTTTTTGGTGGACAGGCTTTGAGAGTCAGGAGGTGAGTCACTCACTGCAGTATCCCTAGCCTCCGACCTGCTCTTGTAGCCACTGTGTTTATGTGGTAAGTCCAGTTGAGTTTGTAGTCAATGGTAACCCCCAGGATGTTAATAATGGGGGATCCAAAAATGGTAACACTATTGAATGTCAAGGGACAGTGGTTGGATTGTCTCTTATTGGTGATGGTCATAGCCTGGCATTTGTGTGTTGCCAATGTTACTTGCAGTGCAGTGTGATGATCTGCTACCAGGGTAAAATTGTTTTTAGAAAGGGATGAGTGGTTGTGTGCAGTTCAGGTGATTGTCACAGTGCTGGAGAAAGGGAATGTACTATCAGAGTGAAAGATATAGTGTATTTGTTTAAAGTCAAGAAACAATACAGATAACTCTACACCACAGGCCAGCAAGTACTGGGAAAGATGGGAGGAATAATATCATAATACAAAACTATAGCAAAATGATAATTGAGACTACCGTTATCCTAATATAAACTTGAACATTAATGGCGTAAAGAACAGGAAGGAGAAAGATTTCTGAGATACGTTCAGTAGAACTTTCCTCATCAATATAGTTTTGACACAACAAGTCATTTCTCAATCTGTTCTGAGGAATGAGATGGGTCAAATACATTTTGTAGCAAAGGGGATAGCAAGAACTACAGATGCTGGAATCACAGACAACACAGTATCGAGCTGGAGGAACACAGCAGGCTAGGCAGCATCGGTGGCGAGGGAGGCAGGAAAGTTTCTGGTTGGCACCTTTCTTCAGAAATAGGGAGGTGGAAGAGAGCTGGGAAATAAATAGAGACAGGAGGGGTGGGACTGGAGAAGGTAGGTGGGATGGTAATAGGTGAGTGCAGATAGGGAGTGGTGGGGATTGGTCAGTGCAATGGGTGGGTCAGATGGGTTGGAGAGAAGATGGACAGGTTGTGTCAGGTCAAGGAGGTGGGGATGAGAGGGAGGGTTAGACATGGGATGAGGCTGGGGTTGGGGAGATTTTAAAACTGGTGAATTCCATGTTTAGGCCATCAGGCTGTAGGTGAACCCCCTGCACATCCGTCAACTTGGTGTACTATATCCGCTGCTCCCAATGTGGCCTCCTCTACATCGGTGAGACCAAGCGGAGGCTCGGACACCGTTTTGTAGAGCACTCTGTATGTGACAAATGACAACACTTTCTGGTCACCAACCTTTTTAACTCCCCCTCCTACTCCCTGGGTGACATGTTCATCTTGTGCCTCCTCCAGTGTCACAATGGCACCACCCGCAAACTGGAGGAGCAACACCTCATATTCCGCCTCGGGAGCCTACAGCCCAATGGCCTAAACATGGAATTCACAGTTTTAAAATCTGCCACCCCCAGCCTCATCCCATGTCTAACCCTCCCTCTCATCCTCACCTCCTTGACCTGACACAACCTGTCCATCTTCTCTCCCACCTATCTGACCCACCCATTGCACTGACCAATCCCCACCACTCCCTATCTGCACTCACCTATTACCATCCCACCTACCTTCCCCAGTCCCACCCCTCCTGTCTCTATTTATTTCCCAGCTCTCTTCCATCTCCCTATTTCTGAAGAAAGATGCCAACCAGAAACGTCAACTTTCCTGCTCCTCTGATGCTGCCTGGCCTGCTGTGTTCCTGTGTTATCTCATAGCAGGAGGACTACTTTAGGGAACAATGATCAAAGTAACATCAGATTTAGGTTAATGATAGAAAAGAACAATGAACAAATGGAAACAAAAATAACAAACTTGAAGAGGGGTAAGAATGGATCTATCCCAGGTAAATGGGAATCAATGACTGCAGGAAAAAATTGAACTCAAGACAGAACAATGGGCTGCTTTTGAAGAGGAGATTGTTTAGGTACAGTCAGAAACTCATGGAAGAAATTATTACAGCAAGGAAAGCCAAGGTTCCTAGATAAGAAAAGAGAGATATCGTACAAGGTGAAGCAGAAAAGGACATCTCACTTGCTTTATCAACTTGATACAGTGTACAGCTGGTCAGGTAGCATCAGAGGAGCAGGAAAGTCGATGTTTTGGGTCTACACCCTGCATCAAGACTGATGCAGGGTGTAAACCTGAAACATCAACTTTCTTGCTCCTCTGATGCTGCCAGACCTGCTGTGTTCCTCCAGGTCCACACTGTATTGATTCTGACTCCATCATCTGCAATTCTTGCTATCTCCTTTGTCAACTTGATGTCTGGCATACCCCTTTTTCTGCCTTGGCAAGAGCAAGTTAATAAGTGACAGGCATTTAGTATAAAGGGAAATCCAAACGTGTTCTATGACAAAATAAATAGTAAAATGATAGTGACAGGATGGATGAGCTAATTAAGGACTAAAACAGAGAGCTGCACATGCATGCAAGGTGGGTCATAGCTCAGGTACCAACTGAGTACGCTATATCTGTCTTTACCAATGAAGAAAATGCTTCTAAGTTAGAGTGGAAGGATAGGTAATTGAACTACCTCATGGAATTAAGAATTGATAAAAAATAGGTATTAGAAAGTCTGGCTGTAATTTGTTAAATCAGCAGGACTATATCAGAATTAAAGCAAAATAGTGTGTATACTGAAAATCTGAAATAAATACAGAGAATACTGGAGAAACTCACCACTTCTGCCAACATCTGTGGCAAGAGAAACAATTCATATTTCAAGCCAAAAATGGTTCTTCTTCATAACTATATTCTTCAGGACTTTAATAAATGTATTTAATGATGTTGGTGGAAGCAAGGGTGAAAATTGCAAAGGTGCAAATCTCCCAACCCACCTTAGCTGTGAGTTGGTGTCCAAAGGCTGGAGATTTGCAAATGTTACAGTTTGTTTAGAAACTGAGGTAAGGGTAAACCAAGCAACTACTGACCAGTCAGTTTGACCAGTAAAAAATAATCAAGAAGGGCCTGCAGAGATTTGTTAAATGGAAATCATGTTTAACTAATTTCATTGTGTGTTTTGATGAAGTAACAGTGATGGTGGATGAGTGTAAACAGTTAATGTAGTCTATGTGGATTCCCAAAAGTGGTTTGATACAGTGCCACGTAAGTTTGTCAACAGAACTGAAGGTAATGGGAAAAAGAAGAGAAAGTGGCAGTACAGATACAAAGCTGATTGAGTGAGCGAACAGAGAGTAGTGACCAATAGTTGTTTTTCCACACTGGAGGAAAATACAATGTGATTCCTCATAGATCAGGACAAAAACCACTTGTTTTCCTTTCTATATACTAATAACCTAGATTTGGATGAACAGAGCACAAGTTTACAATTCGCAAATGACACAAATCTTGGAAATATTATGAACGGTGAGGAGGATAGTGATAGATTTCAAGGAGACATTGACAGGCTGTTAGAATTGGTGGACATGTGACAAATGAAATTTAATGCAGCAAAGTGTATTTTGCTAGGTGTGCTTGAACAGGGAAGCCTAAGTCAAAACAATGACTTTCAGGCCTCATTTAGATTGAGTTACCTAGTGCAATTGTTGGAGTACAATGATAGATCAGGGCTTTATAATAGATAACTGAACTCAGGTGATCAGTTGAGGATGGTAGCCAGAAAAGCAAGTGATTCTTGACCTTCAGGTCAGCTGGAAGAGTGGTAGCGGCAGCAGTCAGGGTCGAGAGGAAGTGCAGCAGCAGTGGGATTGTAATGGCATGAATAGTGGCCTTGTTCTTTGAAAATGTAGTCAGGAATAGCCTTTCTGTTCCTCCATGCTTCGCATTCAGGTACGTTCATTTTGGAACAAAAAATTTGTCTTATCGTCCAGCAGCCTAACCGGCAGTCTATGGCATATTTAGGCCACATACAGAACTGGTTTTCTTAAGCCTAACAGCATCTCAAGAGAGCATCTCAAACAGTGCCCTTATCTGCACAGGAAAACATTTATTGCCTGTTTCTAGTGTGGTTAATGCATACTGAATTTTTGGCTTTATCAAAATTTTGATGCCAGACTTCTAGTTGGTAATGACCATGTGATTTTTTGGTATGCTATTTTGGAGGCTTGGGACACCATTTAATGCCTCAACATAGGTGTTGTGCTATTAGGTTTTTCTCCAATACTTTGAAAATCAAACTTGGAGAACTCAATATAAGTAAGCAAAATTCAGAGGTAAATTCACAGAAAAGTCTAATACATAAGTGTGACTGAACAATGGAGTGAAAAAGTGTGATAGGAAATCATTGAGAAGATAGAGCAACACTTTTTTTAACTAGACATAATTTTAACTCATTGCTTTTGTGTGATTTGTCATATATAAATTAAACAATGAAAAGATTGATTTTTTTTTGTTGCCATGAGGTTTGTGGCTTGATATTCTATTCTACACATTAGACAGATGGCTATTCTTGTACATTCTGGTCTTTTGTGGCCTGAAATAGTTGGCCCTAAAGTGATGACCATTTGAATCTGACGGGTTTTTCTTTTAATCACACTATCATATATAATACTGTTCTTTGTAAATATATCTCTCACTAACATAGACTATTCCATCCTTTCTTCACAATCTCTTACACAACCAATGTCACCACTGATCTGATAAAAATCAACATCTCATTCTATTCATTGTCATTACATTGCAAGAAACACAGCCAAAAGAGGAAGAAAGCTTCATATTTCATATGATTCCAGATTATAACAGCATTCCAACTTCTGGAGAGCATTTTTTTCCTCTTTCTCCCTTCAACTGACAATTATTCTCTGTAGCAAGGAAAATAAACTTGTAAACACAAAAACACTGCCAACCATGTTATTACAATTTTTTTTTAAATTTTGTGTGCACTTACTTCATTTAAATCTTCCATGGCTGACTTTAACTGTCCTAATCTTCTGTACAAAGCTCCTCGACGGCAGTAATTAAACGCTGTGGATTCACCCTTTACATCTATGCGATATGTTAGATCATTAACTGCAGACTGCAAAGCAGCCCGAGTGACTTCAGAGTTTGAATCTGTTGGATACAATTCCGTTTTCTCTTGTGCTGTTGAAAGCTGTAAATTCTGCAGTTCTATCTCCTGCAGGTTGGCATGCAAGTGTGAAGATTCTTTTTCTTTAAGAACCAAGGGGCTATCTTTTTTACTGATAACTATTTGAATGGGTGGTTCTAATGGCGGAAATACTTCATCAAACCACTTGTTCCAGATATCCCTGACCCACTCTCTGGTAACAACACCCTCAGGAATTCCTCCTTTCTTCTTTGTATAGTTCTCAAAGTTAAATAAACAAGGAACGCTAGAATCTCGCTGAAGAACTTTAGGTACTTTTTCACTATCCCGAAGAATTAGTGTAGGTGAAGATTCTGATCTGTTTGAGAGAGTTTAAAACATAAAATTATAAATGTATATAATAATTAAAGTCTAATTTTGGATTCATTGCCATTATGTTTTAAAATGATAATAAATAAACCTTTTGATAGCTTTTGGAGGCATTGACAGTTTTCTGTAAACAAAAGCTAACTTTCTTGACATAGGTGACATTCTCATATCAGCTTTAACTTTTTTACGGTGTTTTGTCTTTTGTTTTTTTTTGACGACTGCTTCTGTCACTGGAGCTGCAATTGAAGGCTGTGTCTTTTCAATAGACACTCTTTTTGCTGGCATTGAATTCAATTCAGAAAGTTCTGTAGTTGGAACACCTTCTATTGATTTCCTTTTTGCCTGTTCCTCCTCTATGGTGGCCTCCATTGAAACCTGAATTAATTGTTCCCGCTGGAGTTCGACCTCCTTCATCATAGTTTTGAAAGGAGCAGATATTGTCAGGTTAGACCCATCTTCAAAGAAATGGAGATTTGGCAATGATTTATGCTTGGCAATCGTAGGTTTGTCAATGGTGTTTTTCAAATTTATATATATAACTATCCTTCGCTTTTCTTCAGAATGTTCTATTGCCGGTTTAGGTATCATACTCTGATTTTCAAAGAAATAAAGGATTTATTTATTTTATTTTAGTGCCATCTACTGTCTATATCAAATATGAAAACAAGTTGTTAATAGAAAGATTTTGCAGTCATAGAGTCACACAGCATAGGCGTTTTAACAGATTTACTAAATATACTTAAAACACTAGTCAGGCCATAATTATAGAGTCATAGAGTCATGCAGCATAGAAACAGACCCTTTCGTCCAACTAGTCCACACCGACTGTGTTCCCAAACTAAACTAGTCCCACCTGCCTGCATTTGGCCTATTTATGTACTTACCCAAATGTCTTTTAAACATTGTAACTGTACCTGCATCAATCACTTCCTCTGGCAGTTCAATCCACACACAAAAACCACGCTCTGTGTAAAATAGTTGCCCCTCATGTTATTTTTAAATCTTTCTCCTGTCACCTTAAAAATGAGTCGCCTAGTTTTGAATTCCCCCACCCTTACTATTCACCTCATTTCTGTCCCTCATGATTTTATAAACTTCTGTAAAGAGACCCCTCAACCTCTTACGCTCCAAGGAAAAAAGTCCCAACCTATCTTTACCACTCAAACCTTCCACTCCTGGTAAATCTTTTCTGAACTCGCTCCAATTTAATTAAATCCTTCCAATAGCAGGGTGACCAGAACTGTACACAGTACTCAAGAAGAGGCCTCACCAATGTCCTCAACCTCAACATGACGTCCCATCTCCTATACTCAAGGGTCTGAGGAATGAAGCTAGTGTGCTAAATGCCTTCTTAACCAGGCTATCTAGATGTGATAGAAATTTTAAAGAATTATGTGCTTTAACCCCTAGGTCTGTTGTTACGTTGTGTGGAGTAATGGTGAATTGGAAGGCAGGAAGCTAGAATTTGTTTAATTAAAAAAAGCTAAAAGAAAAGAGTGTGTGGTTCCCTTAAGAGGTAAAATGATTTTCAAGCTTAGAGATTTATACAGAGAAAAAAAAGTGTGTATAAGTAGCTGAAGATGTACAACCAGTTCTAAAATTGAAACATATATCAATTGGTTGTGTGGTTGGAAACCTTAGACATGATTTGATGTTTGGTAACTAGCTGGAATCAGCCAATTAATTTAAACCAAGCACTTAGCGATTGAAAGCCAATTGAATTTAAGTCTGATGGTTTTGACTATCTTGGACCAATGTTATTGTAAGAAAATTGATATGTCATCCAAGATATAAAAGGAGAGGGTTTTTGAAAATCGGGGTGAGAGTGAACTACCATCTGAGAAATAAGCATCTAGCTCTCACAAGAAATCACTAAGCTCTCTAAGAAAGCACTATCTCATTCATAAAAGGTACCACGGCACTTCTAGCTAAGAGCCCTCACAGAAGACTTCACAGAGAAAGTCCCTGACAGCCGGATCCACAGAAGAAAGGCGTTTATGAATTGAGAACTGCAGAAGAAAGGCACGTAGACTTTGAGAGACTAAGTTTTAATTTATTTTCTTATTACTTGGGTTTATATAAGTGGGACTGGTGTTTATTGGAACAGCATGCCACTAGAATTTTGATCAGTTAGGGAATAGTTAGTAGTTAATGGGGAATTGTTCGGTTTGTTAGTAATTCTGTTAATTTGTTCACTGTTGGAGTTAAATAAATAAATTGTTACTTGTTACTTATTAAGTGACTATTAGGGATTTAATTTCATTTAACCACTGTTTTTAACAGATTATAAAGATGAGGTGAGCTTCTCTGGGTGTTCCCGGTTTAATTATTAGGAGGGAGCCCCTACTCCCATCATAACAGATTGGGAGCTTGTGTTTTGGTTTAATTATCAGAGGGGTTCGAACTCCTCACTGCAACACTGTCCATTCAACATCAACCAAGGCCCTACCATTAATTGTATAAGTCCTGCCCTTGATTGTTTTACCAAAATGCAATACCTTGCATTTATCCTAATTAAACTCCACCTGCCACTCCTCAGCCTATTGACCCAGTATATCAAGATTTCTTTGCAAGCTTAGATAACCTTCTTCACTGGCCACTATACCACCAATTTTTGTGTCGTCCACAAACTTACTAACAACGTCTCCTATATTCTCATCCAAATCATTTATGTAAATTACAAACAAAACCGATGCCTGTGGAACACTGCTGGTCACAGGCATCCCGTCTGAAAAACAACCCTCCACCACTACCCTCTGTCTCCTCCCTTCAAGCAAATTTGTATCCAAATGGCAAGCTCTCCCTGAATCCTATGTGATCTAATGTCACTAATCAACCTTGTCAAAGGCTCACTATGTAAACAACGTCTACTACTCTGCCCTCATCACTCTTTTTGTTTACCTCTCCAGAAAACTCCAACAAGTTTGTGAGACAATTTCCCTCATACAAATCCATGCTGACTATCCTCATGTAAATCCTATCTTTCAGAATCATTTCCAACAACTTACTCACCATCAATGTCAGACTCATGGGTCTATAGATCCAGGCTTCTCCTTACAGCCTTTCTTATAAAGGCACCAACATTAGCCACCCTCCAGTCCTCCAGCACCTTACCCATGGTTATAGATAACGCAAATATCTCTGCTAGAGGCCTCACAATTTCCTCCCTAACTTCCCGCATTATTCAGGGATACACTTGATCAGGTCCCAGAGATTTATCCACGTTTATGTTTACTAAAACCTCCAGCTCTTCCTCTTCTGTGATGTGAACTGTTTTAAGACATCAAAATTTATTTCCCAGAATTTTGTAGGCTCCATTTCTTTCTTCACAGTAAAAACTGATGCAAAATATTCATTTAGTATCTCTCCTATCTCCTGATGTTCAATGCATAGATGACCTGTTGATCTTTAAGGGACCCTATTCTCTCCCTAGTTGCCTTTTTGCTCTTAATGTACTTGTAGAATCTCTTTAGATTATCCTTAACCTTATCTGCTATGGCTATCGCATATCTTTTATTTTGCCCTCCTAATTTCTCTCTTAAGAACATCTCTATGTCCTTTATACACTTCAAGAGATTCATTTTATCCCAGTTGTCTGTATCTAATATATCACTCTTTATTATTCTTTATCAGAACCTCAATATCATTCATTGTTTATTTTTTCATCCATCATTCCCTACTGTTGCCAGCCTTGCCCTTCACTCTAACAGGAACATAACTCTTGTTATCCCACTTTTGAAAGCTTCCCACCTGTCAGTTTGTTGAATTATGAAATAAAAATGTTGTAATTATAGAAATACCAATTATTTTCAAACAATAAAACTGTTCCGTTATGTTCACTGCCGCATTAAATGTGTTTCAAAAAGATAAAAACAGCACATATGTAGAAAAATACATACACTGTTTATAATTAGCTAATATGTATACAATATACTATAATTGTGTTAGGGAACATTTCATTTAAAGCAAGATCTAATTAATTTTAATTGATGGAAACTTTACCAAAGGATTTCACATTTGTAAACAAAAACAAACTTTGTTGAATATGAAGACTTAAACAAAACTATAATTATTAATAATATGGTTTATAACTACATAGATTAAGCAGATAACACAGTGTGGAGCTGGAGGAACACAGCAGGCAAGGCAAATCAGAGGAACAGGAAAGCTGACGTTTCGGGTCGGGACTCTTCTTCAAAAAAATGGATTAAGCACTCGGCTTTACTTTGTATGTTCTGCAAGAATTTTTTTATACTTTATGAAATCTTATAGCTATTTATGTCCATCAGCCCACCAAAAGGTAGGCCACAGACTTTTGGAATTTACTTTACTTTTCCTGAGTTTCAGCTATTCTGTGAGGTAAAGCTCTTGGTTTAATACGGAGATAGCAGGAACTGCCGATGCTGGAGTCTGAGATAACAAGGTGTTGAGCTGGATGAACACAGCAGACCAGGCAGCATTAGAGGAGCAGGAAAGCTGACGTTTCGGGTCTGGACCCTTCTTCAGAGAA